GAATATATGTATTAAAAACAAACAAACAAATGGAGTTGAGGCTCCTGTTCCAGTCAGCTTCAAGGGGGTTGGGGAGTGGATATTCTGTGTCCTGATCACCAAAGGAATTAAACAGATTTTTATTTTGTGTAATCAAGATGTAGGAGATTAGGCTAGAGCCCTGCAGGTCAACCTCATTTTCAAGTGTTTTTCTCTGAAAGGTATTCTTGAGCTAAAACATGACTAGCTAAAAATGGAAGCACTGCATGATGGGTATTGGTAATCACACTGCATGGAGCAGATCAATTCCTACTGCCCAGGGGCCCTTCCCACCCGAAGGAAAAGAAACAGCAGCCACAAGAAGTCTGGGTGCAAACACTAGAAGAGTCTTGTAAGGGGCTCTATTGGCCCGAAGGGTCACTACTTGGATGTAAAGCAGTGTTATAAAATGTGGCTTGGATTCCAAAAAGAAAAAAAAAAGCAAAAATCAACTGAAGCAACAGTTCCTGGAGGAATCAAATCCCTACCCAAGTGGCCACAGAGAACTGATTGAAATGCAGGAAATAAAGACAATCGAAACTATTATCAATACGACCAAACCTCTAGATACTGGTGCTTGAGACTTCCAGATTGAAAAGTCTGAGCAGGTGAAGAGGTCCAATAACTCAGCTGCTCACGGGGGCCAAAGCTCAGCCTGGAAGGAAGGGCAGGACGGGCCCTGTAAGGCCTGTCTGTGGTGCTGGACCTCAAAGCTCTCAGTTGTCTTACCCTGGAGAAACAAGACTGTGCTCCTTCTGAATTCTGACCTAGAGAAGGAAGTGGTACAGGATAAGGGAAGAAGAGATAGAGCACTGAATGGAGACTCTCAGAGAGATGGCCAGAGAGAAGAGAGGTATTTTTTGACACCATTATCAAAATGCACTTATCAAGAAAGATTTTCACCTCTTGGGAATTCAGGGCTGGGGTGCAGATGCACATGCCAGCGATCACTGCGCACTACGCCATGAAGAAACTCAGCCCCAGACACCTCTACAACCACAGCTGCCATACAAACTCCCCAGGCATCTTTCTCACTCACGGGCATCTCCCAGACAGTTGGCACAAAGTTAACGGTAATTCCAGGAGCGGTGGGTGGTCACCATATCTGAGATGCTGGCTGGAGCCTTGGCTTTGGGTGTGAGGAGGCTGGTATGAAGGGCTCCCAAAACAAAGGACAGAGGAGAATGTGAGAGTTCTCCTCGAGAGTTCCCAAGGGTCTTGGAGATGCCTAGGCATGAGCTTACAGCCAACAAGAAAAAGAGACAAGGCAGGTGTAGACACCTGAGGCCTCCCGCCTGGCATAGCCCACAGCCAGGGGACTCCTATCCACAGAAAAGCTTTCAGCAGGCTCCTCACTTCCTGCATTTAGACAGAAAGAAAACATCTGATCAAGTGGAGTTGGGGTTGGGTATAACGAAGAGGTGAGAACGAAGAGAATCCCACCCATGTGCTCATTCTTAAGCGAAGGTGGACAAGCTCCTCCATGCTGGCAACTCACTTCTGGAACAAAAAAAGACTCTAGTGAAAGATTCTGGGGGTCAGGCTGCTGTGTGGTAGGAAAGGCACGGCCTATTGGGCTGCAGGTGCAAACCCTTGAGACCAAGGGAAAAGGTCACCCTCCAGAAATCAGCATTCGAATGAAAAGAAACAAGGAAATATGTACAAGGCAGGTAACCCAATTTTTAAAAAGGCCTGGATAGGGATAAGATAACCTGAGATGATTGGATTCTTCAACCTATTCACACATGTCTTCCTACACGTCAATGTAAAAACATATATACATTATCAAATCTCAAAGAAAATTGGCTGGATTATTGCTTTATCGCCTTCTCAAGCAAACAAAAATGACATACAGCAAAATAAGTCCTCTATACACACGGCCCCACTGGAAGGATAGACACACTTGGAGAGAGGGTGGGTATGTCTGGAAATCACCAATGCTGATTGTTCTAGAGGGACAAGAAATGTGTTGAAAGTAATCAAGCCTCCCCTCCCCCAAACGTGGTGCTGCTGACAGACCAAATGACAGCAGGAAACTAACAGTTTCTTCTTTCTGGGGAATGTCCTTTCAAAAAAGATCCCAGCCTGAGGTGAGGGAGGAGACGCTCCCACAATTCAGATGTCTTACAGAACCCAGGGAGGCGTCCGTCCGGCCTGGAGCTGCTGCTGGTGTCCAAGGTGGATGGAAATGCACATTTTTACATTAAAAAAAATCCGCCCCATCGACAATGCTGGGCAAATTGATGTCTTTCTCCGTCTGAAGAGCTCCTGGGAAGATGTGCCAGTGTTTGCAGGTGAGGGGTGCTGCGGCCTCATCCGGAGAGCCAGAGGAGGGGAAGGGCCCAGGGCCCGACTGGAGGGCCCAGGCAGGTAGCCAGGGCGGGAGAGACGCGCAGCGGCGGGGCCTTGTCTCGGCTTCTGACGGTTAAGGCTTCTGTTAGGTAGGCGTGGCAGAGTCCCCATCTGGAGAGGAAGGGGGAGTCCTCGAGTCAGCAGAAGGCAGGGTAGGGGGTAGGGGGAGACATGGGGTCGACAGCTTTTTCTGTGTCGCCTTAAGACAGCCACAAACTTTTGTTTTTTGTTTTTCTCGAAAGGTGGAGTGAGGAGGAGGCAGGCAGGTGGACGCAGTGGAATGAAGTGATGTGCAGGCTCGGTCACACTCAGCTCTGAGACTTGAGTTTCCTCCAATGGATTTCTGGAGGCTTAACGAGCATACGCGTCATGCACTGCACTAAACAAAATAAACACAGGCTTTGAGGGAGCCCTTCAAAAGGCCCCTGAGTATAGACTTGGGAATCCAGAATTTAGGGGGGAGCATTGGAGATACACACACACACACATATATACACACACAGGTGTGTACAGACGTGTATTTATACACACACACAGCATGCACACATATATGAAATATTGCGAAGCAGGTGTTATATTCATGTGAATGACACAACACCCCCATAATGAAGCCTATCCCACACCTGCAGTGTAAGGCTGGATATTCACATAAAGTGGGGAAAGGACAGTTGCCACAGAGTGACAGCCACGCAGAGAGGACAGACGACAGCCATGCAGGTACAGTCCTGCGACTAAGTCGGTGTGATAGAAATGCCTTGTTTTCAGAGTTTTGTGGCAAGTTTGTGGATAAGGGACGGGGTCTCCTGCGGGCCTCAGGCCAGAGCTGACTTCTGCGGAGTGTGGGCCTCAGGGGTCTGTGCCCAGGACCCGTGGATAGCACTTTAAGTGAGCTCTGGGGACCCGCAGCGACATGGAAGTTACCCTATTGGTTCAACACTTTTATCTCCCTCTTCAAATTAACGTCAATTATCCAGGTGTGTATGCATGGAGAAACTGGGGAGCACAGCTGATGCTCTCCTTTTTTACAAAGGGGGGATGGAGAGACAGTGAGGGGCTGACGGAACAGGAGATCAGACCCACTTACTGACTCCTGGCCCCATGCGCATCCTCCCACCCCGGCCGCCCTACAGAGAGAGGGAACCTTGGTGGGGCTGAAGCTTGGCCTGCCTGCCCAACGCTGCCTGTTCCTGGGGGGCTCTGTCCCGGTGCCCCACCCGAAACCCCTTCAGACCTGCTCAAGCTTGATTCTCATACAGGCTTTGTCTCTTCTTAGACTTCAGCTCCTTCAGCCACTGAGGGGAGGTCTCTTCTGATCTGAAACCACAAAGCCAGCACCGGTCAGTGCGAGCCGGACGGGCCCTCCTCTGGACAGGACCTGCACCACCAGCTCTCCATGTCCAGGCCGGGCTGAGCCAGGCACTGGCTGGTGACGACGAGGCCTTATTAATGAGACCAAGGAGTAAGACATGGGAATTAACTGAAGTGCCCGGCGATGGGAATGTTAAATAAATCGCGGCACCTCCATTCTATGAAATAAACGACAATGATGAAAAAAAATTCACTTAGATAAAATTATTTCCATCCAGCTGTCTGTCACCCAAACACGCGTTCATCCCACTGTCTCTCTGTAAATGTGTAAACGCCTCTGATGGCTGATCTTATGGGTTGACTTGGTTAGGCCATCATACCTAGTTATTTGGTCAAACATTATTCTAAATGTTTCTGCGCTCATTTTTAAAAAAGATAGTCACACAGGAATCAGGAGCTTGAGTAAAGCAGATTGCCTGCACAGTGTGGGCGCTTCGCACTGACCTCCACAGATGTGCCACGGGCTTGCCTTTGGGTCTTAAACTGTAGCATCGGCTCATCCCTGGGCCTCTAGCCTGTGACCTACTTTAAGACTTTGGACTTGGCCTCTACAGTCGCATGTGCCAAATTCTTTCAAATATATCAGTTTTTTGGTCTCCTGGTGGCCCAACGGGTTAAGTCTCAGCACTATGATGCTATCCGCAGCCACTGCAGCCAGGGAGCTGACCCACATGGTGCGGCAGACCTCTCTTGTCTCACCTGCTCCCCTCAGCCGTGGGTTTCAGTAGATCTGCCTGTTCTGCCCCCCACCCTGTCTCTGAGGGATCTTCTCACCCCCTGCACCTCTGGCCTAGACCCCAGCTCTTGTATGCATAAATAAAGAAAAATAAATCTTTAAAACAAATGTGTGTCTTTCTCTCCCCACTTTCCTCTCATTCTTGTTTTTCCTTGCGAACCCTAGCACAATGCCAGAGACACAAAGAGAGGCCGTAGCCTTTCTGAACAATAACATGGCTGATCTGGGGATATGTGTTCTGGCTTTTGTAAGCTGGGGAGCAGAGGGGCCCCACATACAGAGGAGCCCTAGCGCGCCCTCGCATAGCTCATTTAATTTCCTCAGCGTGGATAACTTCTGTGAGTACTGGATCGCCCTTGCGACTGCTTATCACACCCTCGCTGAACAGAAACAACAAAACCATTCTCTGAAAATGGTGGAAACATCATGAGCATGTTTAGGAAGATGTTTAATGCTTGTGGGAAACGGTGGTGCAAAACACTGTTACCCGACTCACAGAGGAGCCAGACGGCAGCTCTCAGGCACGTTTGTAAAAAGTAGAAGGAGGAGATGCACCCTACACAGACCGCGGAGGGCTCTGGGGGTGACTTTCTTGGCTTTATATTCCTGCTCCACCTCCCACAGTCTGTACAGCAAGCATGACCTGCTGTCCCAGTCACACACATGGACACACAGACTCAGAAAGCTCCTTGTCTGGGGTGGGCAGGAAGTTGCTGATCTTGCTGGGGGGATGAGGGGGGCTTGGGAGGAAGGAGGGGTGCTTCAATAGAGAAGGTGTTGCCTGATGGTAGAAGCTCAAGCCAGAGGTGCCTGGGGCCCGCATCTGACTCTGGTGTGAAGGGTCTGCTACGCACACACCCTCCTCACTGCCGGGGAAGTCAACCCATCGGACAGATGGGGAAACTGAGGCCCACACTGTGACTTTCCCCGCAGCACGGCTGGGACTGCAGGGCTGTGCTCCTAACCTTGAGTTAGGTTTATCTCCTTGGACTTGGTCTCCCCTTCTTGACTTCTCCCCTTTTTCCCCAGACCCCCTCAATTTCCTGAGACAAAGGCACTTCCCTGGAGGGTAAGAGGAAGAAGCCTGCCTCAGTTTCCCCATCAGTCTGTAAGCACCTGCACGGGACCGGAGTGTCCCACACCAGGACCCTAGATCTCCTGCACTTCTGAGCAGAACGTGGCAGGGGGGGAGCATGGCGCTGCCTGGAGCCTGGCTGCTGGCCCCGCTGTGAGTCGGGTAACAGAGAGCCCAGAGGGCACATCAGCTCCTGCTGGAGCACAGGCTCCTTCCATTCAGCTCTAAGGAAGCAGCTCCCAGCCACCAGCCCCATGCACCGCAGGGAGGAGCACCCCCTGGGACCCCTCACCTCTCGTCCTTCTCCATGCTGGAAGGCAGCACCCGACTGCCCAGCACCCCAGGCTGGAAGGGGGACTTGGGGCTTCTGGGCTGGGGCGCCCAGCCGGGGGTCTCGCCAGGACTGTCCACCTCTGGCCTCTTGTGCAGCTGAGCCTGTGGAGAGGAGAGAGCGCGTCTGCCAGCTGCCTTGTCTGGGGACAGGTCCCGTCAAATTTCAGTGCTGCTGCCTGGTGACCACAGGCTCCAGCGTCTAACTGGACCCAAGCAGGAAACACGGGGACAGCGGAGACACCACCTGGCCGCAGGGATTGTAAGCCAAGTAGCTATTACCAAGAATCCTCACTCACGATCTCTGCCTGGACGGCACTGTCTGAGGCCTCAGCACAGCACGGTCCCTGGGAAGCCTGGGCGGCGGCCACAGTCCCGTCTTGCAGACTGAGGCACGGCTCTTAAGCTCCTTTCTCCCACACCATGTGGATACAGGCCGTGTGACTATCAGATTCCCCCAGGAAAAAGGCAAGGTGGATTTGGTAAGCAGGAAATGGAATAATGAATTCCATTGTGTGGTCGGAATTCCCATAGGAGGTGGGGGCGGGGCAGGGGGAACAGGGGGTGTTTTTGTCTCCCAGGCAAAGCTGAAGCAGCCCCCCAAGACACCAGCACTGCAGTCTGCTTGACAGCTCTGCGCCTGAGCACCTGACAACTGGACACTACAGGACCAAATTCCACGACATTTCCAAAGTAGAGGCAGTTTGTCCCTGTGTTATACAGCCAAGGTCCGTGGGTCAAAGGTCAGCTTGCCCAAAGTCACCCAGGGCAGCCAGACACCAGCTCCAGGGCTCTGTGGTCCTGATGCTGCCAGTGGACACCTGCAGGCTTAACTATGAGTCCAGAATG